TATTTCGCGGCCATGGTCTGCATTCCTCTCATCCGAACTTAGAATCAAGTTCTTTGTTAAGGATTTGTATATTCAATTAACTTGCAGGATAACTAAAGGTCGTCTGCGTAGGTGGTGTCGACTGTTGTTGCTCTACAAGTTTGCCTAACCCCTGCGACTTGTTACAGAGTTTAGAACTTTCATTGCCACTGGTAATTACGTCTGAACACATTTGCAACCAAAGGCTTATAGAAAGCGTAGTTTGGTAGTGTCATAAATACCTCGAAGACGTAATATACTTCTGTCACCGGGGTCTCATCCTCTCCTGAGCACATCATAGTAAGATAAGGACCGCTTTTAATGCACAAAATTATTTGTTCTAGACGGGCTAGAGCCTATGCCTTTTCTCTAAAAATTTTTTAAACTTTCATCTCGGATGTATTTTTCAATCAAATTACTCCTTTATATTCTCTCCTGTTGGATGGCATTCTGGCTGTAGGCCACTATGATTCGATGCCAGACTGCGAATCAATGATCAGGGGGCGAGTGGCCGTTAACCTGGTCTTCAACATTTTGCAGGTGACTAGAACTACAGCAACAAGTACTATTTTTTCGTCGACACATTGTGCCCCCATGGAAAAATGGCCTTTTTACATGCCCGATTGACTTAAGTTGAAATTCATTAATGCTGAAATGCACAAGAGTTAATTAACTTTTTGTTGGTTTGGGATCCGTCTATATTGCCCTTTAACGTCAACTTGACAACTGAGAAGTAGAAGACAACTCGATCGCTGGGACAATATTTTTATTCGCCTGACGTTTTGAAATCCGTCGTGGATTCATCATCAGGGGCATACTCACAGGACAGTAGCAGAAATAGTTTGTGTGTGCACATGGTTCTATCGTAAAATTTAAACGTACAGAAACATATCGATAAATGTCTTGACTGTGCGCTGGTTCTTTGCGTCAGCAATGAACATCTGTACGTTTAAATTTTACGGTAAAACCCTGTGCACAAAAACCGTTTCTGCTACTGGTCTGTGAGTGTGCCTCTGATGATGAATCTGCGAAGGATTTCGAAACGTCGGGCGAATGAGCATATTGTTCCAGCGATCGAGTCGTCTTCTACTTCTCAATTACTTCCTGGGACTCGCATGTTCACTTGTATTAACACCTTGACAATTATAATCTTGAAAATATCTGGGGCTACTGAAGTACTATGCGGCATTGTGACTGATTTTAATTTGCTTTCCAATTATAGTCCTAACTTCTCTGCTCACGCGCTCCGGTGGCGCAGTTGGAGTTGTCTTTTTCTGTCCCACTTTTTCCTACCCTCATTACGTAGCTGCAGCACATTTTTTCCCCGATGAAGGGGAATTCATGTTATCAAACCACCGAGACTGCGGCCGGTTTTCTAAAACACAAAGTGGCGCATTTTTATCGTTATTTATCCTTGGTTGGTTCAAGCTATGCATGTGGGTGATTGAAGACAGCTACCTTTTACGCACTGTTTCGGTCGATACGTACAGCTGCCGGCCAATCCGCTGAAAGTCTGGTGACTAGGCACTGGCACTGGTAGGCCCCTCATACTTATTTTATAATTCTCAATTTTCTCGGAGCTCTCACGTCTGTTTGTGCTCATTTTCGACTAAAAATACTTAGAAGCAAAAGTTACCTTTTGTGATATTTTGCTCCAAAAAGGACTGTCGTTAGCTAACACAGCAAATATGATTATTCCACTCTACAGGCGCCGGCGATGGTAAAGTCACGGCCAAAATGGCCCCACTCTTTGATGAAGTCTACGCAACAGAAATGTCACCTGTTATGCAATGGCGTTTGAAACAGGCGAATTTCACGTAAGCTAAGCTCTTCTCTGTTTTTTTTAGCTAGATATATCCTTTCTGGACTTGCCATTTACGCCCATAGTTGACTCCGAAACCTTTTACATCTTGTGCTTTCTTCTCAGCGTCCTCGATGTTGAAAAGTGGGATCAGCTACCTGAAACAGGCGATACCTCTTCCAGTCTTCCAACACAACCTCAGTATGACGTCATCAGTTGCCTCAATCTTCTGGATCGTTGTTCTACGCCACTTACCCTTCTACGTAGGATTCGAAACGTTCTGAGACCCGGTTCCGGCCTACTTGTGCTTGCCCTCGTCTTTCCCCTGAAGCAATATGTGGAATGTAAGAGATGCTCAAAAGACGTATACCTTATTGGTAGTTTTGAAGTTCCTCCAGGCGGATTGTTTTTTTGCAGTTTTCTAGCTTGAGCTCTGTGCACGTTTGCCTCACAATAGTCTTTGCACAGTCAGAAATTGCTGTGTTCGGCTTTGTGGACCTTTGCTAAATCTAAGCAAGCACCCTCCTGTAGTGGAAAACTCTCCAGTTTAACCGCTTCCCGCAGTGCAGTAGTTGTTTGTAGCTTCGGGATAATATCAAGCGATTTCCAGATTCAAGAGTAGATGTTTTAATTCCATCAGTTTAAGGTTCCGGTGGGCAATATCTGTCATGTCTTGATAACGTTATCTCACTCCCTCTCGTGGCGTTTATCTAGATAGTGTATCCGTGTCTATACGCACCTGAATCATAGCCTCTGTGTGTTCTGTGCTTGCTTATTTGGCAAGCACTAACTGTCTGAGCGCCTAGGCTAGCAGTCTGACCCCGTCTGGTGTATGTCGGTTAACACACCTGCTTCGCACTATTCTTTTTTATGCCAACTTGCGCTGCATCCTTAAACTTCTAGGGCGTACGCGCACTTCCCTTACTACGCTGTTTACGCATTCTTGCAGAGGCCTGCTTGGACGGTCGACGTGAAGGGCACTCTGCTAAGTAGTCAGCAAAATGCGTACTCAGTGCCGAAAAATTAGATGCTTCTATTGCATAAATTATCTCATCTCTTGATGCCTGCTTCACAGTGACGGTGCGCCTTACCGTTCCCGTGTTAAGTGGAAACACTTGTGAGTTAGGCCTACCGATGTCTACACAGTTCACACACTGCCAATTGCGGTGTTACCATTCCATTAGGCTTACGTTACAGCATTTCGGA